TATTGCTTATACTCTCTCTACAACAAAATTAGAAATAAGGGCAAAATAGTTTCTGCTGGATATTGGGGGGGGAGAGGGAGGGGGTGGAGTGGGTGGAGAGGGAGGGGGTCGGGGCAGGGGGGAGAAATAAACCAAGCCTTGTATGCACATATGAATAATAAAAGAAAAATGAAAAAAAAAGAAATGATAATAAAAGTACAACATATCAAAATCTGTGGAACAAAAACTGGTAATGCTCTAGGGAAAAAAAATTAGCCTTACATCTATATACAAAAAAAACAGAAAAACTGAAAAAAAAATGAACTGAGGGACTCCAAGAGAAGGAATAAATTAATAGAAAAAGAAAGACAACATGGAATCAGTTAATACAACCAAAAGCTGGTTTCAGGTTCTTTGAACGGGGCCAAAAGAAGAGATAAAGGTCTAGGCAAGTCTCACCAAGAAAACACAGTGAAGACATACACACACAAAAAAAATCAGACGTGAGGGAGACACTATACTATACACATGAAGGTCATAAAAAAAATTAACACACAATTTTAATCTGTAATTTTATGCAGATGAATATGAAAATATAAATAAAATGAATAATTTTTAACTACATATGTAAATTACCAATTATTCTGAATGAATAAATAAAAATGAAAGCAACTGAAAATTTGATCAAATTTCTACCTTTAAAGATGGGGAAAAATGAAACAAACTAAACATAATTCTCTCTCCACACTATAAATTCCAGAAGAATTGAAAAGCTAAGTATAGGAAACAAAAAAAAAATACATGAAAATATTACAGTTTCACAAATGGGGGTGGGAACCTTTGCAATAAAATACAAAACCCAGAAGCTACAAAGGAAAAATGTAAGATTTGATTTTGTAAAATTTTATAACTTCTACATCCCAAAATATACCCACAAAGCATAAGACAAATGACAAACCAGAAGATTTACAATGTATTTGGCACACAGGTAATGTTCAAAATCCATAAAAATAAGCATTTAGAGAAATAAAAAATAAAAAACAATCTCATGGGAAACTGGAATATTCACAGAAATGAAAACACACAGCAGGACCATTAATCAAGGGTATTAAAATAAAAACAAACTGTGCATGGTGATGCATGCATGTAATTCCAGCACTTGGGAAGCAAAAGCAAGTGGACTGCAAGTTCAAGGTCTGCCTGGGCTTGAGACAGTGAGACCCTGTCATTCATAAATAAATAAACAAATAAACAAATAGTGAAAATGAAAAAAGTTTCACTTATCAATAGGGAAGCATTTACTCTACTATCAAGTGTTAGAAAGATAGGAATGAAAGAAGCTGACACAGTTGATGACAGTGTAAATTTTTGGAGTCTTTATGATAATTTGAAGTGTCTAACAAATTTTAAATGAATATGCTTCCTAATACTGTCTGTCCTCAAAGAAATTTCTGACAACTATATTAAGAATGGGTTATAAAGATGTTTGCTGCAATACTACTAATAATGTAAACACTGAAAACAAATGGTTATATAACATATGGTATAGTCATAGTATGAACTGTCATATATCCATTAAAAATTATGCAGTACATTGCATATACTCACCAATGAACAAAGCTTTCCAAAACAAATTAAGGGGGAAAAAATCAAGTTGAAGAGAAATATGTATAGAATCCACTTAGGTTAATGATAACATGAATTATTTATATCAGTACATAGACACATAAGAACATTAAAAAAGACTAAGAGGTTGCACACTATACCGCTGCTGGTTACCTCTGAGAAATGTGAAAACAAGAAATTTATGTTTTTCTCAACACTTCTATATTATTTGAATGTTTTTAAAGAAAATATTTATGTGTTACTTTCAATATAATTTCTAAAGAAGGGAAAAAATTTTTAAAGATATATGGGAGGAGCATAATTTTTCCAAAAGAAAAACATAGCTCCTGGTATTAGGTATAGGCTGGCACTCACAGATAGGAGTTAGTGCTCACCTAATCGAATAATTTCATATAAATCAGACAAGACCATTCTGAGACTGACAGAAGACAACAAAACCGGTTACTCCATATTTTTGTCTGAACACAGTCAAAATCATGAACATTGACCAAACTACCAAAATGACCCAACCTCTCCCTGTTCTGCCTCACAAGACTGACTGCTGCTTCCTCACCAACTAAAGGTTTAGCCTCCCTGCTTGTCGAATCCTATCACACCCCTGCTTCCTTTAAGAATCCAAAAAAGCTCCACTGCCTTAAAGTCTCACCAAAATTACCTAAAACAAGCACAAATCCTTTAGAAAGTCTTTCCAAACACCATCTTATTGAGACACCTCACATATCTCCATAGTTTGGTAGTAATAAACCTAACTTGTTCAAGTTAAGTGTGTTCTTAGACTGGAGGCATGGTCCAAGTGGTAGAATGCTTTCCTAGCATGAGGACCTGAGTTAAACCCCCAGTACCACCAAAAAAAAGTGTATTCCTAGTGGTCTTCAGCTAGGGGATGCTGGTATATGATAAATAAGAGTTAAAACTCCAATGCAACAGGTAGGACTTATTTATTTTAGCATATACACCATTCACCTTACTATATATTCCTCAGAAAAGGAAAAGTAGTGGTTATTTCCATTTTATAGAAGAGAACAGTAAGACTGAAAGCAGTAAAATGGGAATTAAATACAAACGATTTCAAATTCCCTTCATCTTCCCTTTTCTGTGGAATACTATTCCAACTCGTGTACCCATATACCACAGAAGTACGTAGCTATATGCCAAGTAATATAAAAATAAACTATCTTCCTGGACAGTTTTTAACAGTAATAATAGTAGGTAATAGTTAACATATCTTAAAGACATATTCCATAGCAAGTATTACAGAAAACAGTCATTTTAGTCTAAAAATCTAGTAAGACAGGTATACTAGTATTTTTATTTTTTTAGTAAAAATGAGAAAAATAGTCAAATCAGATTCATGAAACTCACATTATGAGTTCTTAAACACTAGAGTACATTTTAACATTGAAACAAATCAGATTTGTCATGAAATAAAATGTAAATCAGGGTTTCCTTGAGGTCAATCTTCTGATTGTATTCCCAGACCCCTGAGAAATTAAGTTCACTCTCTATCAGGGATACTACCTTAGGGTGAAAATTTTAACAACCACACCATAATCCTTAAGAGATATTAGATTAGAAAAATAATTTTTCTCAAAAACCAAACAAACCCACCAGTTTTTGTGTTATATTATCCACATGGTTACCTCACCAAGACCCTAGATTCAGCTCAAAGAAATATAACTCTGCAAGGCAGGAGCTTCAACTACTTCCTTTCCAATGTAACACAGAATTTCCTATACTTTTGAATTACCAACATCAAATCCTACTAGTTGATAACTCTAGATAAGCATTTGTATTTATAGAACCAAAGCTAATTGTGAGCTTTTTGTGTACTTATATATTGCCAATAACTTTCCTTTGTCTTTCAAAAAACTTTACAAAAACAAAGAGTTTATCAGACATCAGTAGACAGTTACTTACAGCATTATGTCACCTGCTTTAGAATATTTTAAGTTTGCTGATAATCTGTACCTCTAGGAAAACAAACCATGAAAGGATTATTTACACTGACTATGAAGAGGATGGGGTTGGAAGGGCTACATTACCTTTAGGTCTGTGGTTACTGAATTCACTAGGAGCAGGGACTTTAACAGGTGTTGCTGAACTTTGAAAGGTCAGCATACTGGGAGTGGCAGTAGTAGAGTTAGCCTTTGGTCTTTGTCTTGGTGCAATTGAGGTTTCTGTTGGTCCAATGGTATCTGTTATTCTACAACAGAAAAATTCATTTCATTTCAAATATTGGGATTATTTATAATGTACTATTATTTCTAGAAAGTGTCTATTTCAAAAGATGCATTTAATTATTACATATGATCACATTAGTCCTCTTGGCTTCCTCCTAAGTCTCACTCAGACAATACATGGTTAGTGAAGATAGGAAAGCAAAAACAACAACAAAGTCTCACATTCCTTAAAACAATACACTGCTAATCAAAGTCTGCCATTAAAACTGGCAGAAAAAGATTATAGTCCCAAAGATTACTGCTAAGAAGATCAAATGAGGTTAAAAGAAAGTAGAAATCTTCTCATAAGACAACTCTTTGAAGAGAAATAAGAAATAATCAGCTTGGACTCAAGACATGAGAAAGAAAATATTGAGCTCTGATGTATATAAAACAAAAAAGCCAGTACTTTCAACAGGTGGAGCCACCTGCTCATATCCAATATCTTGAATTTTTCAGTCTGCTTTACTTGAAATACTACGTGGAAATTATATGAAATTTTTCCTACTACAACTTAGTTTAGGTAATGTGCATAATCAAGTGTTAAGCACAATTTTGAAAGCAAGAGACAGTAAGTATAATTTGAGGAGACATGAAGACTTGTTTCCTTTTTTTAAAAAAAAGGCAAGTTAAATCTTTAACTTCAAAAACAAAAAAAAAATCTTTAACTTACATATGTCAACTTTGTTTTTATAAATTTAGTAAAAAATCTCAAATACTTTTCAAGAGGATTTACCATGAAATCTCTTTAATAAATTCCTTTACCACATTCCCAAGTACTTTTAACACCTAAAATTTTTATATATCTAATTTACCTAGCACACATATTCTGCATTTGGTGAATGCCCTACCTACACCTACACAGATCTACAGTTTCTTCCTAATAACTGCATGTAACACAAGAGGGAGCCCTGCAAATAGGTTATCTTTCCAAGAGGAAAGAAAATAAAGCTGAATAAAAAGACTTCCAAAAATTATAGAAATATAACATATGTGCTGTCTTCTAAAAAGACACAGGTAAAGGATGGGTATGGTACAAGTCATATAAAATTGATCAAGATCATAAAAGGTCACATACATATAATCAATTGTATTTATGAGCTGTAGCACTAAAACCAATGGTATACTCCCTAAGCTCCAGTAACCTGGAGGACATATTATATACAATCTTTCTGCTTAACTATCCATTCTTTATTAAGTAATGGAAACCAGACTCAACCTTGCCATGTTCCTGGTCTAAATCATTCTTCAGAGATGCACAACATACATGAACATAGCAGAAGTTCTAAAAGGCATATTCAAACTCTAAAGACTTTGCTCAATCTAACATTCCTAATTTATTTTGCCAATGTACCAATATCTATTATACATTACTAATATCCAGAAAAACACAACTCACGTTCTATTCTCAAAGAGTTTACAGTATACTTAGGAAGATATGGAGCATGTTGGTGAAAATATAACAAAATATATGACAGTAAAAATAATCAATGCCAAGCTAGTGCTGCCAAGAGTTTCATGGAGGAGAGATCCTACTTTTAATGTGACTAGAGGAGCTTCAGACAGAAACTAGAGATCAGATTTTTAAATAAAGATTATTCCACTAGACCATAAAAAGTAAACTAAGCATATGAAGCAATGGGAAGAAAATGCCTGGACAGATTAGGCAAAAGGAAGACATGAAATGGACTAAAGCTGAAGACTGATTACTGCACTGCCTCATTTGCACTCTGAGGAGAGTCACCTGATCAGTCTTCCTAAGACTCAGACTCTCCTGTTTAAACTCTTTCATTGCTTCCATCTGCCAGGCCAGTGATTCTTAATGTTTCCACATGTCAGATAACTTTCACATGTTTAACAGAGCACGTGCAAAGCTGGGAAGGCAGAAGGTTTTTGAAACTGAAGGCAGGGCACGTGGATAACCACAAAAGCTTTGTGAATAATGAAACTGGCTATTTTAAACATTTCTCTGCCCAAAATGTGCCTTTTACATGAAAAAAATTTAATTTAATTTTTAATATTAAGCTTCATACAGACTTTAGATTCTTTCAAGTTCTTCACTGATATTAATAAAGAATAAATTTCTTAATTACCAATATCATTGAACCTTATATTTTAATGTATTTAATACATAGTTTTAGCATACTATAAATAAGCAATGCAAATTTTTTAATATATTGACAATAAAAACTTTAAACATGTACACATTAATGGAATACCATGTTATGCTTGATACACGTATGCATATATAATGATGAGATTAAGCACTGCAAATTTTAACGGCACTACTTAATTTACTTATCATTGAATTACTGTAACTCGTATGTCATAGTAAAAAGATATGCAAATCATTCTGTTCAGGTGACTCATTTTTATATCTGCATTACCTTCTTAAAGATCTAACTATTGACAAACTATAAAAAAGTAATAAACTTCAACTGGCAAATCTTGTAACAGTTCATAATTACCATTCAACATAACACTGACTGCTAATTAAAGCTCTGTCATGGATGAGACAGATCGGTGGTTATGCTGGATTCATGTGAGTTACATATAACTCTACTTCATCTCTTTCTAAACAGAGAATTTTAAAATTCAAGTAAATGAAGATATTTTTAGAGTGATACTGTACTTTTTAAAAAGTCATTCACAAATGCAAAGTTTGTAAGTTACATAACATTTATAACACACCTCATAAGTCCCGAATAGAGTTGGCTGGAAAATTCCTAAAGACCAAAGTCTAAATTTCTCAGCATGACATATAAGCAAAGCTATTCATGAGACTGGCATTTACTGTCACTCAGGCTTCTTTCCCCATCGCTCCTATGCTGTGTCTCCTTATGCTCCAGCTGTAGTTTCACAAGGGCCATTTTCCTTGCCTGAACTGCCTGGCTGCTTTAGTTTCACTACCAGTCCTCAAATGACTGAGTACTCATCCTTCAAGGAAGAGTTCAGTGTTTTCCCCACTTCCAGTCTTTTCCTTTCTCCATGCTCTCAAGTGGCCTGCTAACTATCAGGTACTAACTGTTTACACTTAAAACTGTAAGCTTCTTGGAAATAAAGACTGCTTTTTATGCTTTGCATCTCCAATATCTTTATCTTGCATATAAAATGCATATGACAAATATGTTCCCATTTTATGTCAAAGAATTTTGCATAACAAAGATTAATACAAAAAAAGCTGTGATCAAGACATCTTCCCAAATGCAATATTCTACCTGGCTAATAATCTAAGATAGTCCTGCTTTTTAAGTTTTAAGGAGAAAAAAGATCATTGACAAATTCAGGTCTTCATCTAAAAATATATTTCAAACTTACTAACGTGGTAAATAACTAAAAAACAGCTTTAAAACTTAATTCTTTACCAGTCTTAAAAAGTATTATAGGTGTGGTTTGCTCTCGCTTGTAATCCCAGCTACTTGAGGTGGAGATGAGGAGGACAGCCCAGGCAAAAAGTAAGACCCCCATATCTCAGTCAGTAAGCCAAGCCTGCTGGTATATACCTGTGGTCCCAGCTACTTAGGAAGCCAGCCCCTGGCAAAAACATAAAACTACACCTGAAAAATAACTAAGGTAAAAAGGGACTAGAGATGTAGCTAAAGAGGCAGAGCACTTGGCTGGCAAGTACAAGGGAAGAGGCCCAGAGTTCAAATCCCTATAACCATAAAAAATAAATAATTTTTTTTAAAAGCTTATTATCTGGGAACTCAAAACTGAAGAATCCTGAATTAGAGTTGCTATGTGATGAAAATGACAAATCCCCACGGAAAAAAACATCAATTAAATATTCACGTCTTTATTGATAAGAGTGTGCAGTGAAGTGAGATTTGATGTCACACCCTGAATCTAATATAAAAAAGCTTGTTTCATACTTGCCATATAAACTATACCACACATGGATTAAGCTACACAACATTTTTGTGAGTAAGGATATTTAATCAATGACATTTGCTAGGATTAAAAGGAGAACTACATTCAGTGTAGTTTTGCCTACCTGGCTTTCATTTGGCTTTTCCTAGCAGCAGCTTCACTAGTAGTCATCGGTTCAGGAAGAGCTGAAGGAATAGAAGAATTCTTGGAAAAAAAAAAAATACATAAAACTTTTCATTTTAGTTTTTATTGTAATTGTAAAACGTTTTTAAACTATGGACATATTATTGAAACACTACTATTTTCATGTCAGATACCTATAAATTATTCACATATATTTCATGCCAGATCTAATCTGCAACTATCACTACATATCACACAAATGTCATCTTTGTATTGATACCCCACAGAAATCTTTGAAAAATAAACACAAGACAGTCATTATATATAATTTACAAGTGGTTAAATCTTAGGGAAAAAGAAATATGATTATAAACCAATGACTATTCTGTACTTCAAAAAAAGAAAGAGACAACGAGGGTAAAATAAAGTGTAGTTTCTAAATACCACAGATAATTTTCATGGCACTAATTGCAGGGTCTAGAAAAATGGAGGTAGAAGCTTTTACTCAATGTGTTTATGTCCAATGTTTGGCTCATAGCAGGTAATCAATAAATGCTGGTTGAACAAAATGCTCAAAATTCAGTTCAAGGTCAAATAAAGCCACTTGCCTTATCAGAAGGTCAGAATTGCGTAGTTTCAGTTTCAACAGAGAAATTACTAAATTGATATGGTAAGGGCTTAATGAAAGATAGCACATTCTTTTTTCTTAGGGAGATTAAAATTTAAGTAAAGAAAACATGTAAGAATGCCAGAATGATCTTTACAGAGCTAATAGCAGCTTAAAACCAATGATGATTCTAGGAACCTTCATTAGAACTAGCAGAGATTTTCCATGCACAGTTCATCACAAGTAGTTAGTGTGCAGATAGTGAAGAGAACACAAAGCCTTTGAATGAAACTAGTTTTTTTCCAAATGAGCACCTTCCATGGACTACTTGCTGGGCTGTACATTAGCTATAATCCTAATGTCTAAAAAATAGACATAAACCTTCCAAAAGACATAAAATCAGGCACTGATAAAGACAGAATTGAACTCAGGTCTCTCCACTTACAAAGTCCATACTGTTCACATCAAAACTTCCCAAATTTCCTCATTTAATAGAGTGATTAGTAGCTATTTCAGAAACTTTTTTCATCAAACCCTTTAGGCAAAACAAAGAAACAAAAACCCTGTTTATTAAATGGTTAACATAAAAAATGCAAAATAATCCTGCAGTGACCTTGAGTCTGCTATAGCTCTCCAGGGCACTTCAGGGAAGTTTGGAAAATGTGACTTTATACCAAAATTACCATGACAAACATACTATCAGACCACTTATTATGAAGTGAATAACTATCAAAGTATGCACAGCCATACTTAATAAAATGGTTTTAACTTTGTATCCTATTTGAAAAACTACTTACATTGATGTTGGACACTGGGCAATCCTTTTTGGCAAATTTAAATGCAAAATAGGACACTTGAAATATATCAGGTCTATGCTCTGGATCTGGTTCAAGCATGAATCCTGTAATAATAAATCAAAAGCTTAAAATGTACTGAATACAGATGCTACTTAGGATCACATTATAAGGATAAAAATGTATTTTTTTTCTGTTCTATTCTGAGATCAGTGGTGATTCTAGCAAACTCTGTTAATGTTTACAGGAAATGGAAGAAACTGTTATCTTATATATGAACTTAAAAGCATTATTCCAAACTAAAAAGCAGAGTCACAATTGTGTAATAGAAGTATGAATGACAAATATTATTATTCTCTTGAGAAAGCTATACAAAACAAAAATGAATTAAGTGGACACTGGGGAAGTATTTAAGAAAGTTCTAGGGCCATAATATAGGGTCCTCAAAATAACTGCATTTGAAATAATTCTCACTATTATCTAAAATACCTCTATTTTGAAATGATCCTAAGTCATTGAGAAAAGGCTAAGTGTGCATATTATAATCTATTTAACAAAGTAGTATAGACTGGCACTACAGTTTTCCAAAAACATGTTTTCTGCTCATACTAATGATATTCCCTACAGTTCCGTATTTTGATGTTATCACGCTCAGAAGTATAAGCAGAGTTCTATGGTTCTATTATGAACAGCTCTCACATCAAACTTAAGCATTACTTGAAATGCCTGAAACCTCCTGGCTACCCAAAATGACCATTACTATTTGTTTCTTTACTAGATGACTTTTAATTCAAAACTTCACAAGAAAGCTGACATATATTTAATTCTGTAATTGAAAAATTCCTACTTTGTTAAGGTATCGCTATGACTAATTCGACTTCATTAACTCTAAATTGTTGTAATGTTTAAATCATTTTTAAACTATTTGAAATGGCCAGGTGCTAGTGGCTCACACCTGTAATCCTAGCTACTCGAGAGGTAAAGATCAGGAAGATTGTGGTTTGAAACCAGCCCAGGGAAATAGTTTCTGACACTATGTTGAAAAAAAAAATTACAAAATGGACTGGCAGAGTGGCTCACATGGTAGAGTGTCTGCCTACCAAGTGTGAGGCCCTGAGTTCAAGCCCCAATACCACCAAAAGAAAAAAAAAATTTGAAATGTAAATTTCATAGCATTAAATATTTTGAAGTTTCCTAGTAAATACAGAACTCTAAGGATACAAGTCACTAAGATAAAACTATACATCAAAATGAAATATTCCCTTCCAATTTAGCATTTTGATCAAAGAATGCACAACACATCTTCAACAATATAGTAAACTTATTTCAGCTAACAACACAGTTGTATGCCAAGTAACACTGTGCATAAAATTTGGAAATCTATTTGGGATTTCTGAGCTCAATTTAAAAAAATACAAAAAAGTCCACATATAACATGATTCTGTATGTAAAAATGTTAACATATTATTTATAAAATTTATAATTTTGTCACCATTGTCAGACTGAAATAACTAAACACATTTTCATGCATATTTATTAGGTTGAATTAAACCTCATACTATAAAACATCTGAGGGATCCAAAAGGTATATTTATCTTCCAAAATAAATCTTATTTATCTTAACACTAAAAATATTTTAAAAGCAACAGTACATAAAATTATGTAAAATATTTACATACTTTTAAGAACATGTTTATTTAAACAACAAATTCACAAGAAACCTATCAAATTCACAAAATTATGATCCTATTTTTCTATTCTAAGAAGTATATTTGGCTTTTAAAATCTAATTTCAAAAGTAATTAGTATTCCTATAAAGATTTGATATGGTATATAAAACTAAGTTTTTTTTTAAACATATGAGAAAATTAGGTTAAAAGAAAGGTAATTCACTGAGGCAAGTAGGGGAAAGGTAAGATCAGTAAAGAAACTGCATATGATTTGGGTGTAAATGTGGACCCAAAATTTATCTGCCCACTTTCTGTCAATATAAACAAGGCAACATGATCTATTCCATTAATCACAGCATCTATTACACAAGAACAAACCAGGTGCTAAAGAAAATCAATACTCCTCATAGGAAAGCAAAGAGCAAATTCTCCCTCAGATCTTTCTAGAGATGGGTGACACACACAGTAAACAAAATCCTTAAGAAATTGTAATGAGTGACACAAGGTCAAGTCTACTCCTCTAGTGAGGATCAAGGTCAAAACACGTAAGTATCATTCAACAAAGAAATTCTATAGGGATAGAGAACAGTGTAGTGTAAGGAAACTCTTCTCTGAGAGCCCAGCTTAATTCAAGAAAAACTTTTTTAAGAATCTAAAGAGAAACAGAATGATCCTTCAGGCAACCTTGTATATGTTGTTTGTTTCTGAGCTTTTGTTTTGTTTTTCTATAGCAGTTGAAAACATTGACAGGAAAGAAATAACTTTGAGATTTTATGTTCTAACCAATACTAGTCTTAGTAATTCTCTCTAAGCACAATACCATATCCTTCAATAATTAGGTAACCACTTTGGAAGTAGAACTGATGTCATCTTAAAAACAAACAAAAGGACCTCCAATTCTCCTGTTAAGTGTTTCCATATGGGAATACATCTATTGTAGCCAGTTTAGTTTGTATATACTGATCCTATTTATATAAGATCAATTCAAAATTTCATATCTAGTATTTGATGAATTTAGATGATAACCATTAAAGTGCATTAATGTGGCAAGTGTAAGCAGTGTTTCATGAAACTTGATTCTGTTCTTGTGTGTGTGTGTGTATATGTGTGTGTGTGTGTGTGTGTGTGTGTGTGTGTGTGTTAGTATCAGGTTATAAAAAAAATGTATTTTGTACACTGGATCATAGTTAAAAGGTTAAAACCAATGTGCTATTGTGGAACCCTGACCTCCTTTACTACTGTAATTCATTCATTCTTCCCCCCTGACCAGAATGATCTGTCCAGTAAGAGTAGGAAGAACAATCAAGTACCTATATGCAACAATCTAATGCTCTTTGTTTCCAAACAGGTATTCTCAAAACATAATGTTCTCTACTACATCATATTTTGCAAGTGGTCTGTGCATGTGGGGAAAAAATTTAGTCTTACAGCACTGCTTATGACTGGATATAGGTAAATTTTGGGTTTGGGGACAGACTAATGGGTCCATCTGGCTTCAGATCTAAATTTCATTCTGCAATCTGCTTTACCACTACAGGTTCACTACCACTTACCTGAAATGTCTAGGACAAGCACTTCTGATTTGCATTTTTTTTTAAGATTTTGAAATATTTGCAAATACCATGAGCTATTTTAGAGACTGGGTCCAATTCTAAACAAGAAATGCATTAGGTTTCAAATATACATTATGCACATATACATAAGGGAATTTCATATGATACTTTTTTATCACAACTGTATTTGGACTGCAACTGATCATATGAGGTTAGGTATGAAATTTTCCACTTGTGGCATCAAGTCAATGCTTAAAGTTTCAGAGTTTGGATTTTCAATTAGGGATGATAGCTCTGTACTAAATTTGATAGTCTTACCTGATGAGCTTCTATGCCCATCTCTCATTTGGTTCTAAATTCAAAGTATGAGAAGTCTAATGATCATTCTTTAAACTCACAAGTAGCTACATTTTTATCTCTGTAGATTTTAACTAATTATTTATTTAATTAAATATTTATTTTAAAAGGGGGAAGAGCTCAATAAGGCATCATTAAGCACTTAATTTAAATAATATTAATTCCTTGACCTTTTCAGAAAAATGGGTTGCAAAATGTGTCCCTAGATTACTGAATGATGTAATCTACAATACTGTAGTCAAGATCAACACTGGGGCCTATTTATCAAGAATGACTACATCAGTTTCCAGTTCATTCAAGCTGTTTTCTCTTAGAATAAATAAATAAATAAACAAACCTCACGCCTAATGTTTTATTAACTCCTATTTCATGACAATTAAACTGTATCATCTACAAGAAATACGTTATTAGGAGAAGGAGTGGATTAAGAAATAACAAGTGATAGTAAATCATCTAATTTTAAAACAAAAAACAGCAGAGATGGCAGAAAAAACCCTGCTTACTCAACTTAAAATGATCAACTGACTCATCAAAATACAATTACCATTCATCCTGATCCTACCACAGGTATAAAATGAACTTTTAAAAAATTAGCCACACTTGATTCCAAGATGGCGGCTAGAGGGAGGAAGCAGAAAGCGAGCCTCCTATAGTGAAATCTTGGAGAGACACTGGAGACACACTTTGCAGGCATAATC